CATGTGCAGTGGCAGAGCTCTGCATGGGTCTCTCTTTGATGACAACAGAGGCTCGGGGGCTGGAAGGCGAGTCCTATGAGGCTGATGTTCTCTACTATGTATTTCTGTGCATACAAAAAGTAAGTTCGCTATGCCCACAAACACACAGATTCTTCGTTCAACATCTGTTGCTACGATTTTGATGTGGGAAGGCAGTTTGAGTGCATCTTTGTTTCCTACAATTTTCCCCTGCAGTATCTGTTTGATAATGGTCGTGTGGATGACGTTTTCTCAGATCAGTACTACACTCGCTTCGCTCACAGTCTGCACCAGATCTTAGAGCCATGGAGACCATCTATTCATCCACTAGGTGAGTTGACAAAAGTTGTTTTCCAAACTTGCAACGTGTTCCTCTGTAATCAACTTCATGTTTTGTCAACTAATTTTCTCAAATAAATGGTGCGATAGTGAATAAACAGACCTACCACGTTATGTTGCTTGCCCGATATTATAAACTGCCAGGTCTTTATAATCTGCACTTTACCTCCTCTACCAGGTTATGTTATCCCCAGCCATGTAACAGAGGAGATGTTGTGGGAATGTAAACAGCTGGGAGCTCATTCTCCCTCGACGCTGCTCACAACTCTAATGTTCTTCAACACCAAGTGAGTGGCACCATTTTTCCCCATGCAACGTTTACTTCTATAGTTTATTACTATGGTGCTGAAACGTGGTAATATTTTCCATCATATACCTCTGTACACAAATACTCATCTACAATAGAATCCTGACCCACTAGGCATCAGCAAAAGACAAAGGTCCTAAAAAAGTCTGAATTTTAGGGCTTTAAAAAGTCTTCAGTTCGATTTCGACAGGTCTCAAATATGATTGGATTATGAAGTTAAATGGTAAATGGATTGGCTTGTTCAGCGTCTGGCCACTTCAAGCGCTTTTACACTACATGCCACATTCACCCATTCACACACATTCAAACAGTGATGGCAAAGACTATCACAAACAGCTGCTCAGTCTTCCACATTCATACATCGATGCCCAGTTTTCCAGTTACACCAGTGATAATGCCCAAATTCACAGCCTACGGGATTTCACTTGAATGAGGTGAAAGCAACCGTCTTCCCATCCCCAATCATTGTGCTTCAGAATAAACCAAAGCACATGTCTATCTTTTCACTGCAACTCTGCATCAAAATTAAGTGAATTATTACTTTAAAGACTTTTATTTTCCTTCATATTCTTCATACTTTTTTGTTTGAGTGAATGTGAAATGAGTTTTTGATTGCTTTCATAATGGTCCTATAAAGAAACTTGTGAAAACAAATAGACACTGCTGTTGTTATTCTGTATCTTCTACTATTCAACACGCACTGATCAAATCAGTCAATTTATACACTGTATATCTTTTTAATAAGGTATTTTCACCTGAAGACAGTGGATCAGCATCTAAAAGTGGCCTTTTCCAAGGTGCTGAGACACACCAGGAAGAGTCCCAACAACCCCAAAGACAAGAGCACCAGCATCCGATACCTAAAGTCAACAGAGAGGTTCATAGGACAGAAAGGTACGAGTGCAACATGGATTGAGTTTTTGCTGTCGTGCCTGAGAGAAAACCCTATTTTAAGAAAAAGAAATTATATTGTTTCTATGTTTTTCTTGTTCAGTCACAGATGACATGTACTCAGAGCAGCTGGAGGACCCAGAGAACCCTCTGCGATGCCCCATCAAGCTCTACGATTTCTACCTCTTCAAATGGTAAATATTACAGCCGTTAGGATGACAAGGGATATTGGTTAAAGTGGAAATACATTTTCATCGGGACTGTAAAACATGTTTGCATGGTTTTTATTTAATAAAACATTGCATATATTTATGAAACAGTATACTTTGTCAGAGGACAACTGGTAAAAATGCTTCTTTGTGCTACCATGTAGTGTTTTTCTCTCAGGCCAGGGTTAGGTTTATCAATTCATCATGATGAGTGTCATGAGTTTCTCTTTTGAGGTGCTGCTGCTACTTAATAAAACGCTTGTGTTTATGTTATTGACATGGGATGTGGAGTACATGCTGCACTCAGTGTTCAAGTGATTAAACTTGTGAAAAGACTGTTGCTAGGTAACTGAGAAAAACGCGGATGCCGTATAACTCTCCTCTCTAAAACGCTGAATGATTTTGATGTTTTCTGCCTCCTTATATGCCCAGGAACAAAGGCAACTAACTTCTTTTGGCCTTTTGTTGTTTATAAAAATGTCAGCAGCCTTCACAACTTGTGATAAGGGAGAAGGCTACTATAAAAATAGATGCTACAAAGTGAGTGGTTTAACATTTATTTTGTTATCCCAAAGGGAAATTTGCAGTGTTGGCACAAAATCGAACATAATCATATTTAATATATTTAGTCTACAATTGGCAGGTACCCAACATCAGTGATGGTATAAGCGATGTTGTAGACACAGGCAGAAGGAAAAACAATACAGAAATAAACAGGACATAATACTACACAGCACCTTGCAGTGCTTACACAAGTGCAAGAATTTGCCCAGATGTAAACACAACTGATCTTCAAAGATTTTTATAAGCACCATGGTCTTAATTTAGTTTTTGTTTTAGTCCTCTCATGTATTTAATGTAACATTTTATTCAACAACTTACATTTTAAGACTTTGGGACATGACAGACATATGTTAGTTAGAGTTGAAACAACTTAACAGAAAATTAATCAGCTATTTTGATAATTGTTAATTTTTCAAGCAAAAATGCTAGACATTCACTAGTTATTTTCCATTGTGAAAACTTGCTGCTTTTGAATGTTAAACAGGGAATATAACCCACAGATGTATCCTTAATAAAAAATAATTGTTGCAGCCCTGAGGAAACAATGCTCGACACAAGAAGAATGAGCCTGGTTTTAAAAAGAAAATAAAAAAAATACTGAATTTTCCTTTAAGTTCACTATTTTTCACTCAGGCATTAAATGGCAGAGGCATTTAATATGAAAGCACACCATCCACTAATCCTCTCCCTCAGTTACAGAAAAAGAGAATTTAATTAAATTGGATTGTATGCTGAGGAAGGCTAAAACTGTATCTGTTACTGTGTACCCTAACAATGTGCTCACACTGTGTTTCTCTGTCAGTCCGCAGAGCGCTAAAGGTCGCAACGACACCTTCTACCTGACACCAGAGCCCGTGGTGGCTCCGAACAGCCCCATCTGGTACTCAACTCAACCAATCCCAAAAGAACAGCTGGAGCAGATGCTTGCCCGAATCCTCGTCGTCCGCGAAATCCAGGAAGCCATTAACATGTCAGAGGGCGTGCACTAGTTGGACCGGAGGAGGACAATAAATGGACTAGACTCTTCCTCTTTCTCTTCACCCAGCCTTTTGATTGCTCATTATCAGTAGTTTTCTATTCTCTCACACCCTCTTGTGGTCTTTAAGGGTGGCATGTATATGTTTATATTCATTATGTGTCAGCATATCTTACACACAAGGACTGTACATACACATACAACCAATACAGATAATAATTTGTCTTACCGAGGCAATCTCTCGACCTACCACGTGTTTTTATTCTTTTTGTTTGGCCAAAGGATGTAGTGTCTAATCTTTTTATTGGACCTGAACTCTAATTTAAATGTTATTTTAACTGTTGGTTCTCCTTACCAATAGTCTGGAACAATTGTTAATTTTCTTTCCCGTTTTTCTTTTAATCTGTAATATATTTCATATATATTTTCACTGGGGTTGGCCTGTGCTATGCTGCTTTTCATAGACATCCCTCTTCATTGCGTCTGCCTTGGTCACGGTTAAGTCCCACAGTGAATACCTCACTGGTATTAAGACTGCATTAAGTAGCCAAACATAGGCTAAAAGCTAATTTTTCAAGTTGTGTGAATTCTCCCTCTTTCTTTGTATTTCACTCTCGTCTGTCCTGAGCTGAGATCACTTGGAAACACCCCTAACTCTGGAGATGACTCGCTTGTTGGTGGATGCTGCTTGGGCTGTAGCACCCTCTGTTGGACTAGCTCAGCAGCAACGATTCATCAGGACATGGACATGGACATTATTGCAATACAGTGTCGCCACTCAGCCCGCAGCCACTAGCACTTACAGACGGAGGGCGAAGGATGCTGATTGCTGCTGGATCCTCCTTACTCTCTTCTGTCCATCACCAACCCCAAAAGTCACCTGGAGAGGGATCTGTTGTATCATACATGTTTATTACATGACAGATGAAAGACTTTAAAAAAAAAAAAAAAAGTGGGTAGCCCTTAATGTTCTATAATGTATAATACTCATAGCTCCTTCATGTACTGTAATGGGTTTCAGTCATCTAAGGAGAATGGCAGTGCCTGTGTGTTTTTGAAACATGACCTTTTTTGTACAGCCACTATACCATGTGTCTGCCTTTCTAGCAAGTCTGCTATCAATTCTGCACATGCATCCTTAAGTACTGATTGCATTGTGTGATATAAAATGATGCACAATGATTTTTTCAAAAAAGAAAAACCCTAAATAAAAGTCATCCCACAACATCACTTCATCAGTAATGGAGGCAAACAAAGGGCAAAGAAACAATGAATTGTTCAAATATATTTGGTAGTACACTGTCCACATTTTGGATTAACAGGATTCTAAGTATTACCCCTAGCATTGTCTGCACGCACAGGTGGCAGCCTCATCATTGTTGTTATGAATCTCACACTAAGTAATCCACAGTAGAGGAACAGGTTTGACCTGAACAGCTGGTTCTTTCCTTAATATTCCTTTATGGCAACAATACAAACTGCTGCGTCTGTTTATTTTTCTTTTTAACTAGCACTTATTTGCATGTTGTCAGGCCAGTTTTCTGCCTGCAGGGCCTGTTGTCATACAGCATACACTGCATTATTTCTACAGTTTTTCCCCTTCTTTCTCAGGTGCTGTATGAGGGCTTTTTTGTTTTTACTACCCACCGGCAGTGTCTTGCTTGTTTTTGTATTATCGGCTTGACAGTATTTGAGCTCAGGAGGTGTGTGAGCCTGAATTAAACAGTGATGAGGAAGGCAGAATCCTCCTCAATAGGTTCCCAGGGTGTAAAATCTGCTGCAATGTGTTCTGTTGTTGGTCTGACGGAGGTGTCTGTCGATACTGGTGATGTCTCCTCCTCCCTGCTCGGTTCCCCCGTGCTGAGGAGCTGTGGGGTCGATCTTGAATGTGGTGGTTAATATCTGAACTGGCTCCCTGAGTTTGTTGGCTGCTGGGATAGAGAAGACGCCTAATTAAAATGTCATCATACTTTACAATGAATAATAATATGCTGCCTGTGCTGAAATTGAATTTGATGTGTGTTGGTGCTCATTGGGAGTTTATTTCTGTATTCTCACCATGCTGAGGTTCCTCCACTGAGCCAATGTAGCAGACACTGATGAACAAATATGTACTGCTCCTGAACACACACAGTAGAATGAGGAGGTAATTAGGATGCTTCATCTTATTCATATCAGACAGTAAAGCACACAGTGTTTATGTGATGAGATGACAGATTTATACAGGTATGTATTTAAATACACTTAATACTACTGTCCAAAGAGGTATATGGTAAATTTAACTCAATATTAATTGCAATAATATAGTATACCAAGCAGTGGTAGAAAACACAGTTATTAAAGAATGATTATGGGGTATTGTACTCCTTGAGTACTACTTTCTACTTGCGTCTTTACTATATTTCACAGGAAAATAATCTATGATTAAATTAGCTTATGATGAGCATGTTTTGGTGCATTGTTATACAGTACATCCAAGAAATAGTTTGACATTTTAGATAATACTTTGATTATTTTTTAAGATGAGAATACTAATACAACTCTTATAATCGTCCATTAAATATAAGTCTACTTCCAGCCAATTAGCTTAGCATGCCTAACGGCTGTGCTTGCACTTTTTTTTAAGGCTGTTATCTCGAAATCACAAGGCAATTATTTTGTTATCTCAAGAAGACAAGCTTTGATATCACGAGATAATGAGAACCGAATCTGAACATTGCAGTGATCTTTGAGCTAATTTAATAAATCTCAATC